CAATCAGAAGTCTTTTGGCGAACATTCCTCCCCCACTTCCTTCTGGGGCAATTTTTTCGAGATAGTTAACCTTGAAAAATAACCATATGTTTTCTTTACTGCAGAGCTTCTCAAATCCGCTCATTTGTTTATAGGCATTGAAACACTCCCAGGAAAGAATGTTTTTCCCAACTTATTTGAATCTCCAAAGAATTATATTCCATAGAACAGTATTTGGAAAATGATGCTAAAAGGCAGTGGTCTCAGGTGGAAATTTTGCACCTTAGGGCACATTTGACAATATCTGAAGGTACATTTTTGGTTGACACTCTGGGGGTGAGGAATGGGGGGAATGCTTCTGGAATCTCAGGAGATGACCCCCTGACTTAAATCAGTTGATTGCCCTTTCATATCATTATTCATCCTGCCATTGTTTTCTTAGTATGTACTTGATAACATAAGAAGCTATAAATAGTAATTTTGATTTTATGGAAACTGGCAAGGGAAAGCTGACAATTTTTAAAATGGGGTTATTTTTAAAATGAAAGTGGTACAGTCAAGAGGCTTTGAATCCTTCGTAGAGACTGACAAAGTGAACAAATTTAAAGAGTACTGACCTCTTAGGTGAGAAATCTCATAGTCTTTTGACAGTATGTGTTTTCTCCAGCCTGATCATGCTTGGCTTTATAAAAAATAGGCTCTATAAGAGAGAAAGAAAATTAATCTTAAATTTTAAGGGAAAATACAAATACAGTTTTGTTTTTTAAAGATTTATTTGAGATAGCATGCCTGTGGGGGTGGTCAGAGGTAGAGAGGGAGAATCTCAAGCAGACTCTCCAGTGAGGGTGGAGCCCAAGTGGTGCTTGATCTCACAACCCTGAGATTATGACCTGAGCCAGAATCAAGAGTTGGATGCTTCACTGAGCCACCCAGACGCCGCAAAATACAACTTTCTTAAATTAACACTTACCATTTGATTTTTACGCCCCTCATCTACCAAAAGTGACATAGGACATTTAGAAGTTTTGTTTGTTTAGAAGTTTGTGGCATTTTCTGAGAATCTGGGATTACCACTGTGGTGGCAATATCAGATTAGAAATTAGAGATTTAAGCTGCATTGTAAATTTGTTTTTAGGTATAAGATGGAATTTCTAAATAGCAGTTGAAATAAAGTATAGAAAGTATGATATAAATGGATTATACAATATATATTTGGGTAAAGTATTGAATATCCTTTCTATTAAAACTTTTATGTCAGCCTCTGAGGTATGGTATAATGTGTTTATTTTCCTCGTGTTAGTAAAGTCAGGTAAAAGTTTTGAGAGATGCTAGGTATTTTGATTCCAGAATCTTTTTGAAAGAAAATCAAGGAAGGAGTGTTAAACCCTTTTTTAGCTATGTAAGGAAGGTTTTCTGTATATTGAAACTAGGTATTTCCAAGCTGTAACACTAAATTGTTTAAACTTTAAAAGTTGTGTACTTTTAACTTCAGAGAATAATGTAACTATATAGATTTCTCTGTGAAGTGATGTGTGTGTGCAGCATGTTTCAAAGAATTTAGCACTTAATAATAGATCGTTGAATCTATTATTTGGCTTCAGTGTTCTAAGAAAAGTTAACTTCTTGAGAATCAATCTTAAGAATAAGATTTTCTATATACTCAAGTGATGGTCGCCTAGTGTTAAAAAATTAAAAGTATTATTAAGTGTGTCCAAATAATGGACTAGAGAGAAGGACAGATTATAATAAAGTAAGCTAAAAGAAGGCAAATCCATATTTTCTCTGATGAACTTTAGGACAGAATGCCAGCCATCCACATAAATAACCATATTAGGTATGCAAATACCTACTCTAGCAGTGACTATGTTGATCAAGGAGTTATTTGGAAGAGATGATCTACTTGGGTGTCTCAAACATATCTCAATCTCAGCATGTCCAATGAGCACTGCGATGGTCCATCTCAAACCCATCCATTTTACAGTGTTTTCTGTCTCATTAAATGACACCACTCTACTCTCTTCTACAAATGGGAAACCTAGATATTAGTCACGATACTTGCCTCTTCCCCTTATATATTCCAGCTCTGTTCAGTAAAAATGTTAGCAATATCCATAAATGTTTTAGTAGTTACACCAAAAAGATAAGAAACAGGTGAAATTAATTTTGATATTTTTGATTTAGCTCAATATGTCCAAAATCTTATTTCCATATTTTAAAATCAGATATTTTATATTTCTTTTTAAATATTAAATTTTCAAAGTCCAGATTATGTTTCACACTTAAAATGAATACATCTCAATTCCTACTTGCCACATTTCATGTGCTTAATCATCACATATGGCTGGTGGCTACCATATTGGACAGTGAAGATCTAGTCTGTCACTAAGTCTTCTGAATTGTACCTCCTAAATAACTCTTAATTCCTTCTCTCTCTCTCAGCTGGCATCATCCTGATACAGATTACTGATAACTTCTAGCCTTCCTCCCATCAGTACACAGTGGTCAAAATGATCTCTCCCAAATCTTTTAATTCCACCCCCATCATCATTTACTCTTTAAAATCTCATCGCTTCTTTGGGTTAGCCTTTCCTGATACTCCTCCTCTAAATCAATTTTATTATCTACTCATCGAGCATCATGTACACCCTCTCTTGTAGCATCTAGTTTACTTTCATTTGTGTGAGCACTGTAAGTTCCAAAAGAGCCAAAACCATGTCTTTTTCCCCTTGCTATATCTTTAGTAACTGAGTGCCAGACGTAAAGTAATTATTCAACCAAAATCTGTTAACTGATGAATTTAACTGCTTGCCCTCCTTGAAAATGCTGTGGCTCCCAGTGTAACAGTATCCTGTTCAACCCTTAAAAAGCACTGTTTTGGGGGCACCTGGGTGGCTCAGTGGATTAAAGCCTCTGCCTTCAGCTCAGGTCATGATATCAGGGTCCTGGGATCGAGCCCCACATCAGGCTCAGCAGGGAGCCTGCTTTCTACCCCCTCTCTCTCTGCCTGCCTCTCTGCCTACTTGTGATCTGTCAAATAAATAAATAAAAATCTTAAAAAAAAAAAATGTTCTTAAGACTCTTGATCTCAGCTCAGGTCTTGATCTCTAGTTTTTGAATTTAGGCCCCATGTTAGGCTCCACACTGGGTATGGAGCCTACTAAAAGAAAGGCATTGTTCTTGGATCTTTCCTCTTCAGTTCATCTTCTGTATAAGCAGGGATTGTTCTTTATTCAGAAGCCTTTAATTCACTTTACCTACTGAGATAAATTTCAAATTTATAACTTGCCATTTGAGGCTCTGTGTAATCTGACCCCAAGATCATAAAAAATGAAACTAGCTGAGTTGTATTCTTCCTACTCTCCAAATAAACATTACCCTTAGGAGCCATCTTTCTATTCATTCAATAAGTACTTTTACTATATTACCAGATAATGATCAAGGCCAGTACTATCAAGTAGAACTTTCTATTCTACTGTATATCTCTTCTGTTGTATTGTATAATCTGTTCTCTCTATACTCACTGGTCGCATATGGCTGTTAAGTCCTTGAAAGTTGACTGTTGAGCACTTGAAATGTGAATAATGCTGAGGAACTAAGTTTTTTTATTTTGGTTAAATCTTATTAGCCATGTCTGGCTAGTGGCTACCATATTGGATAGTGCAGATCAAAGGAATGGAGCACATGCTATCTGCCCTCATGGAGTTCATACCCTGGTATGGAGATAGTCAGTAAATAAACTGTATCAGATGGTGATACATTATGCAGGAAAATAAAATTAGGAGATGTATATGTTGGGAAGGAGCAGAAAATGTTTATGTAAGATAGAAAAGGTACTAACTGACATTTGAGCAGAGATATGAAAAAAGTGAGTGTAAGCCATGTGGATGGGTATATTTAGAAGTGTTCCAGAGTAGAGAATAGCATGTACAAAGGTCCTGAGGAAGGAGTGTGCTTACCTTATTCTAGAAATAGCAAGGAGACTGGTGTGTCTATATTGAAGTTACAGAGTAGAGCAGACCAGGAAGGATTTTATTGGCTGTTAGGGAGACTTAAGCTTTGGCTTTGTGAGACAAGATGCCATTGGAGGGTTTCAGCAGCTGAAATTCATGACCCTAGTCTTGGAAGAGAATCACTCTGATTATTATATTGAGAATAAGTATATACCTACATACTGGGAATGTCCTTTTGGACAAAGGACATTTTACATATTAAAATTTTTTCTCTTCTTTCAGATCTTAATTCAGAAATTACATCTTCCACTTGCTTTTCCTAAGCTTTATCATATAGAAGTGATTATTCTTTTTCACTAGTATTCATGTCCATATGTTCATAGTCCTATATGTTGATTTTTTTCTGTAGACTATAAATTCTCCAACAACGGTGATTGTAGCTAGTATACACATAGTGCTCCTAGTTATTGGTTGAATGAATGGTACCTCTAGTTACAACTAAAGTCATGGAAACAGTTTCTTAAATTATAACGCGAAATGATACTTGGATGAAAATGTTGCTCTATAATTGCTTTTATAAGCAGATTTATATCTAAATGCAGTAATAAAAAAATAGCATGGTGTCCAAACCATTTACCCATATTCACTCATTTAATCCTCTTACAAACCTGTAAGTAGGTATTATCAGCACTATCTTCTGGATGGGAAACTGAGACAAATAATGGTTAAGTAATTTCTACAAGATTACAGAGCTTGGATTTAGATCCATGCAACCTGGATGGTTAATTTTTTTAGTAGGTCATAGACCTACTAAACAATTTTGGGAGCAGCAGAGCATTGCCAGCTATTAGCAACATTTATTCTAAAAGTTCTAACGTTCTGACTTTATCTACTGTTCTATTACTTATGAAACAAAACTATGTAAAATTCTGATGTTCATTAACCTATTTTTAGAATATACATCATTATGTTAATCCATTTAATTCATTTTTTTCATAACAAGAGATAGAGTAATGGCATATCAATATAAACATACCATGGGAACAAACTTTGTGTTTTTCCCTTGTTTAGGGCCTGTATATCTTTGGGATCAAGAACTCGAGCCATTGGAAATGCAGCTAAGAGCCAGGTAAATTGTTAATGTAGATGTTTTGACTTACAGGAAGAATTTATTGGAATCTTGGTAACCAAGCTACCACTTTGTTAGTGAGAAAAGAGAAGGCGAGAAATTTGACAGACTCGAATATCTTTGTATTTTAATAGATATATTTTGCTTTGGGGTTGTAAAATATTTCTTATCTTTTATTTTTTAAAAAGTCTTATTTAGTTGTGAAGTTAGGGTGTATAACATCACTTTTTCGCCTGTATGGTTACTTTTCTATGAGGTATCCTGTCTAGAATATACACTTCAACAAGTAAGCAATGTCTTTGTAAAAGAAGGTGGGAAATATGGAAGAACTAATTTCCAGAGTAACCCAGTGTGGCTACTTTTGCATGGAATCTGCTTAAGTATTCATATTTCTAAGCTTCCAAATTGCTTATAAGTAGAACATTTACTTTTAATGTTTTTTGTTAGAGGTTCATTTTCCTCAGACTTTATTTCCCTGAACCAAAAGCCCTTAACAATTACTTCTTATATTTTAATGTGTACCTGGGTCTTCTTTTTGTCATAAAATAACTTTAATAGGTCTTTTTTCCCCTCCTGATTTTATGGGAATAATTGACTCATTTATCTAGGAATTTTTGCTTAAGACTTTCCTCAAGGTTGTCTTCTAATTGGCCTATATATGAAAATGTTATCTTCTACACTTTCATATTGTACATTAACACATGTTGAGTTTGTGCCAAAAAGACTTCTTCACTAAAGTTTACATCTTATATTCTGTGTGATCTTCTAAGCGTATCATGGATAACAGAGTCTCTATAAAGAATGCAAACTAAAGTTACTCCTCCTAAAGAGACCAATGTGGTAATTCAGCGTCCCTGTAGCTTTCATCTTGTAACTTGTAACTGAAGAGCACGATCTGTTTGACTTTAACTAAGAGGGCAGCAACTAGATCTCAATATTAGTGTATAGTTTGAGCTAGATGTTCTAGTTAAAAAATTACTTTGCTAAAATACAAGCCATTTGCAAATTCAGACACTTTAACTTTGCGTCATGCTACATGGAAGGAGTTTAAATTTACCAGCCTAGAAGACTTCTCAACTGTAAGAAATTTCATTCTCACTACATGGGAAGTTTCACAAAGAACTAGATATTAAGAGGAAAAGAAAAGGGGGGCAATGTGGAAGAGTGTTTCAATAAAAACTTAGGAATGAAAGTGGAAGAAAGAGAAGTCAAACATACTAATTCACTAAAGCAAAAGGTGAGGAAAACCAAACAGATGAGCTGTAGATAGATTTTCACTGTATTACTCGAAAAGTTTTACATTTTTGTTCTTTCTTTTTTGAAAACATTAATTTTGAGTCTACATTCCTAGGATAGGAAGAGAATTTGTGGAGCAATATATAAGATGCATACATTCTTACTGTATAATTTTACTGTCAGCTGGAAGCCAGACAAATGATTGTGTATAATTCTAAACTTAAATGTGTAGGATAAGGAGACTTGGTGGTCTTAAATATTAGCATAATGTTGATTTTGCATTCATTAAATATCAATAAATAAAAGTGTTTACTGCCAACAGATAGTCACAAATGTAAGAAATACAATTCATGGCTTCAAAAAGCTTCATGGGCGATCATTTGATGATCCCATTGTGCAAACGGAAAGGATCAGGCTTCCTTATGAACTGCAGAAGATGCCTAATGGAAGTGCAGGAGTTAAGGTAAGCTTCTCAGAGTACAAACATATTTAAATTCAAGAAACCAAATATAATATTGCCTGTTTATAGTTTTTTTCCACTAGACCTAGTACATATGTACCAAGATTCAGTTTTTGTAGTAAGCTTTAGTGAGTGCAGAACAATTACAATTCGATAATTCTTATTTTTATTTTCTCATTTTTTTAAAGGTTTTATTTATCTGAGAGAGAGAATGAGCAGTGGGAGGGGCAAAGAGGGAGAGAGATTGAGTGAGAAGCGGACTGTTTGCTGAGCTGGCAGCCCAATGCAGGGCTGGATCCCAGGACCGGGAGACCAGGACCTAAGCTGAAGGCAGATACTCAAGCAACTAAGCCACCCAGGTGCCCCTAGATAATTTTTAAAATCCAGACAATACTTTTATTGTCAAGAAAAAATTATTTGAGGGGCGCCTGGGTGGCTCAGTGGGTTAAAGCCTCTGCCTTCGGCTCGGGTCATGATCTCAGGGTCCTGGATCGAGCCCCGCATTGGGCTCTCTGCTCAGCGGGGAGCCTGCTTCCCTTCCTCTCTCTCTCTGCCTGCCTCTCTGCCTACTTGTGATCTCTGTCAAATAAATAAAATCTCAAAAAAAAAAAATTATTTGAAGAACTTTTAGAAGTGAACAGTATTTAAGCAATAAAGGCAGAGGCATAAGTGATTTAGAAAAATAGACTGCATAAGTATATTAATTGTTATATTAAAGCAAACTCTACTTCCAAATGGATGGATTTCACGATAGCATTGTTCATAATAGCCATAAAGTGGAACAGTCCAAGTATTCATCATCTGATGAGTGGTTAAATGAATTGTGGTACCTATACAATGGAATATTTAGCCATAAACTGGAGTGACTTCATAGAGATGAACATGGCCACATAAATATACATATATACACTTACACACACGTATGTTGTGCTGCTTGAGAAAAGCTCTTCCAGAGTTTAGTGTTACAGAATAAAATTTGGTTTACTTAGGACACAGAAGTAAGACATAACTTTTTCTTCAGTAAACTAAATGTAGTTATTATATGGGTTCCAAGGTAACTTTATATTGCTCATAAATTTATTGGTTATTATAAAAGGGCTTAATTATCTAAAGCACGCATCTTCCAGTATTCCTTCATCAAGAAGCATTGTAAAGTTCCCTTTTGTGTGCTTAAATGCAACCTACTCTTAAACCTGTGTATAAGATGAAGTGGTTATTTGGTCTAAAAAACAATTTTGAAATTTCATGTATACATCTCTAATATTTAACTTATGATTATTCCTAGAAACCTTGGAATAATAGATAAAATATCTTTTTTTAATAAGAAATTTTCTTTCCTGATATTCTAATTTCCTCTTCCTAAAACTGTATGATTAAATCTTTCATTTTAAACCCAGAAGAGTTCTAACTTTCAAAAGAAGGATTATTTGATCTTTTTCTCGTTCAATATATGCCTGGAAAGTGAATGTTAAAAATTGCTTTTTTGAGAGGCATGTGGGTGTCTCAGTCCGTTAAGCGTCTGCCTTCAACTCAGGTCATGATCTCAGAGTCCTGGGATTGAGCCCTTCATCAGGCTTCCTGCTCAGTGGGGAGCCTGCTTCTGCCCCTCTCCCCCTGCTTATGTGTACACTAGCACACACACTCTCTTAAAATCTTTTTGAAAAATTGCTTTTGTGAAAAGGAGAGATTTAAGGCAGGAAGACATTTTTGAGAACAATTTGGTTATATTACTATGTGTAAGTCACTTGAGTTTTAGAAATGAAAGGTGGTAATAGTAGAATAATCTTTTTCAGAATATAACTTCCTTGAGCAAAGACTGTCTTTTTTGCTGTTGTTTGTCTATCATGTATAGAGTAGATCCTCACAGAATGTATATTGGATGAATAAAAGACTCTTAATAAATATCTCAACTTCTGGTTTTAGGTGCGGTACCTAGAAGAAGAGAGACCTTTTGCAATTGAGCAAGTTACTGGAATGCTGCTGGCTAAACTTAAAGAGACTTCAGAAAATGCTTTGAAGAAACCAGTGGCAGACTGTGTGATTTCAGTAAGTTTACTTCACTACTTTCAAATCGCACCTTCCAGTTTATTAACATTCTATTGAAATATTTTTCTTCACTTTTCTTTACTCTTTCTGATCTTTTTTAGTAAAAAAAAAAAAAAAAAAAAAACACCATTTTTATGTTTAAAAAAACACCTTATTTGGTAAAGTTTTGGATTGAGTTAGTTTCCTAAAAAGTCAGTTATGATAATCTGTGAATCTTAAAACAGTGTATATGATTAGTGACTGCTGTACCTGCCAGTAATTCCTAAGAATCTTTCCTGGTCACTCTTAACTTCCCACCTGTAGGGACCTTAACATTTCATGGCAAAGCTGAAAATTCTCAGTTGGGAATTTGAGATTATATATATTTGTATATTTTGTATCAGAAAGAAAAAAATATTTTTTAAATGAAAAATTGGATATATTTAACATGTTAAAGTTTCAGAAATTTTGACATATGCTTACACAAAACCATCATCAATCATTATCAGTATTATAAACATATTTATCAACCCCCCCTCAGAATCCCATTGTATCTCCTTTAAAGTAAAAGTTGTTTAGGTATAAGGTTGTGTAGCATGATCCTTTGACATACATATACATAGTGAAACAATAATGATGACTGCAATTGAGCAAATTAACATACCCATCTCAAGTACTATTTTTGTGTGTGTGGCAAGAACAACCTGAGATCTACTTTCTTGGCAAATTTCCAGTATATAATACACTATAACTAACTCTAGATACCATATGCTATACATTAGATTTCTAGAATTTATTCATCCTACATAACTGAAACTTTGTAATCTTTGGCCAGTATCTCCCCATTTTCCCCACCTCCTTGCCCCTGGTAACCACCACTCTACTCTATCGCTTCTATGAATTTAGCTTTTGTACATTCCACATATAAGAGAGAATGCAATATTTTTCAGAAAGAAAAGGTCTTTCTTTAAGGATTCATAGAACATTTCATCATTTATCTTTTGAGATCCCATTATATACTGATAACTTTTTAAATTTACATGTTGTCACTTAAATGTGAGTATATTTCTAATACTATTAAACTTCTCTACCTAATTTCAACAGTCTCCTATCCTCAGAAAAATAGAATTGAAATATAAACTCCCCTGGAATTTAGTAATTAGATTATTATAGGTATTTAGAATTTTTTGAATGAGAGAAAAATAATAGAGCTTTAATATTTTCTATTCTGACCATTTAATAATAGCAAATACTAGAGTGTACCTTTGGCCAGGCAATGTTGCAGGCATTTCATAAGTACTAACTCATTTAATCCTCAGAACCCACCCTATGAAGGTAGGATATTTTTAACTCCAGTTTTATAGATTAGAAAGCAGACACAGAGAAGTTAAATAACTTGCCCCAAATCAACAGAGCTAATGAGTTTTAAGCCAGAATTCACGCACCCTGTATTTCATTCCCAAGCCTCTGCCTATAACTCTACCCTTGTACTACCAGTTGAAAGTATACATCATAGCGGGTTTGGTTTTAAAGTCCATCTTAAATTCAAGTTCATTGACTATACTTGATAATAATTTCACATCAGAAGTTAATGTCAGGAATGGATAAGGAAGATATGGCCCATATACACTATGGAGTATTATGTCTCCATCAGAAAGGATGAATACCCAACTTTTGTAGCAACATGGACCGAACTGGAAGAGATTATGCTGAGTGAAATAAGTCAAGCAGAGAGAGTCAATTATCATATAGTTTCACTTATTTGTGGAGCATAACAAATAGCATGGAGGACATGGGGAGATGGAGAGGAGAAGGGAGTTGAGGGAAATTGGAAAGGGAGGTGAACCATGAAAGACTATGGACTCTGAAAAACAACCTGAGGGTTTTGAAGGGGTGGGGGGGTGGGAGGTTGGGGGAACCAGGTGGTGGGTATTAGGGAGGGCACGTATTGCATGGAGCACTGGCTGAAAAGAAAAAAAACAAAACAAAAAAAAAAAAAACACCTTTACACCAGTTTAAAAAAAAAAAGAAGTTAATGTCAGAAGAGAGCATGATGAACATTTTGGCCATTATTTACTTTGTAGTTAGTGTGATAGACACATTGTGAGCTATATAAGGGGAAGTATTTTCTCTGTTTTATGCACTGTTATATCCCTAAGTGGTTAGAAAAGTACCTGGTACATAATTGCTCAATGAGTATTAAATGAAATCTATATTAGAATTTGGATTTTTGTCAGAAGGATAATAGCAAAATCAGGATAAACAGTTTATCAAAATTCAAGTTCTTTTCCTGTTGTTAGTATCTGTTAAATGAAATTTCTGACTTTAGAAAGCAATAAAATTGGAGACAACTTACTTAAAATTGGAAGAGCTTCAAGTCATTTTGTACATGAATGTACTTAATTAGCTTTTTTTTTTAAAGATTTATTTATTTGAGAGAGCATTCAGTACACATGCACACATGCAGGGGGAGGGGGAAGGGAAGAGCTGACTCCCTGCTGAGTGTGGAGCCCACCTCAGAGCTCTGTCCCAGGACCCTGAGATCATGACTTGAGCCTAAGTCAGATGCTTAACCAACTGGGCCACCCAGGTATTCCTACTTAATTAGCTTCTCAGAAATCTGTCTGTAGACACAAATCAAAGTTTGACAGAACTAAATATATGTAAATCTTAAAAGTCTCAGTTATCTTTTAATAAAATCTTTGTTTAATTAACATTAATTAAACATATAGTGGTTTTTGGTGATTTTAAAAGAAGTACGTGCTCTTCGTAAGTCCCCTGCAATATAGGTACCCCTTCCCTTTGAGATGATAGGCACTGCAAACCTTTGGGTTTTATATTCTCCTAGGTAACATATACCTACACAAAAATCATGCTACACATGTCCTTTTTTCTAATCAGTATAGATACTCTTCCATGACCATTCAGATCTGCCTGATTCTAACAGCCACATAGTATTCCATTATATGGAAATACCAAGATATATTTATTCTCATTTTAACAGTCTTGGGCTTTCAATTTTTCATTATTAAAGATGAACAAACTTTTTTTTTTTCCATAGAGCAGAACCAACACAAGAAGGATTTAGATGAACATATTTTGGAAATCTTGAAGTATAATGTCATCTTATTAATTGCTTTAAATTTGTGTTCAAACTTAGGTCAACACTTTATGGTAAAGAAATTGCCAAAAAGAAAAAAACTAGTATTTTTTTTTTTTTTATTTAATTAGAACACCATTCTTTGCCTTAAGCCCTACACAAGTTTTAGAGCAGTTATTTTACATTTTTAGCTGACGAAATGTTTAAAATCTATTACATCAAACTAATATATTTTAATTACTGTTTTAAAATACCAGATTCCTAGCTTTTTCACTGATGCTGAGAGAAGATCTGTGATGGCTGCAGCCCAGGTTGCAGGTTTAAATTGTTTAAGGTTGATGAATGAAACTACTGCAGGTGAGCACTTTGTAGTTTGAAAATCACTGTCAGAAAAATACTGTTCCGGTTATTTTTGTTTTAATATAAAGCATTTATCTTTTTAAAACTTAATGTGTACTAGCTCTTTTAACCTTTAGTTTTGTAGTACAGTATTTTGCTAAAAGTTAAATATGTCTTATATTTGCTGTAAGAATTAACTATAACAAATGATTCTAAAGGAAAAATAAAAACAGTAACCAAATTATAAAAAGTTAATTTACTTTGAAATGAATATAATTTATATTACTCTCTATTAAAGTGCAGTATTAAAAGGACTTATCTTTTGTTTTCCAAGTGATTCCTATCCTGATACTAATGTAATTTCTTTGTTCTTACACAGTTGCACTAGCATATGGAATTTATAAACAGGATCTTCCCCCACTGGATGAGAAACCAAGAAATGTAGTATTTATTGATATGGGACATTCTGCCTACCAGGTCTCCGTTTGTGCTTTTAACAAAGGAAAACTTAAAGTAAGTAAATAAATGATTTGCTATATGTAACTTTAATGGTTAAGAGAGCATGTAAGACGATATAGAGAACCTTGGTGCCTGGGTTTAAATCCTGGCTCGGCCACTTAAAAACTGTGACCTTGAGCAAGTTACATACTCTCCTTAAATCTCAGGTTTGCCACCTGAAGATAGTATCAGTAATTACCTCATAATTTTTGAGGAAAAATTAGTTTTAATGTATGATAAATGCTTGGAATGCCTATAATAGATACTGTAATATGTATTAGCTATTTTTATTGTCAAGGTGTTAAGTCACCTACAGGGAGCATTAAGTACATTACTATCCATAAATATATTTAGGAAACATTTTCTAAAATGATTCCCTTTGTTTGATAAACTTTCCTTATCCAGGAGTTCTAATTATAGTTTTCTAAAATGTGGCATCGTTTAGTTCTGTGTGCTTATCTTATAGTTTGTATTTGATTTTACATTCATTTTTACATTGGTCATCTTATCATCTTGTCTTTCATCATCAGTCACATATGTAGAAGTTACTTAGAAGATGAAATACTATCCAACAGACCTTTTAGAGCCTTTTGTCTCTCAGTTTATAGTAACATCCTTGTAATCAGAAAACACAAGGGTAATGACTTACAATGAATATAGGATAGTTTTCTGTAAATTGGTTTAATCTGTTGTTTAGTCTTGAATTTTAACTTAAGAATATTTTCCTCCCTTCCTTTTTAGTAGATATCTTTGAGTAGCCGTATCTGTGGCCCTTCTATCCAGAAGGATGCATGTTTGCACTAATCACATACCAACATAGTTTTGCAGTTAATTTTGTGTGGTACTGGTCCTAGCAAGAAGTTGATCCATGAATTCTCCGTACTAGTCTGTGGGCTGATAACCCAGTCACATTATGTTTACAACTTTCTGTGGGGTTTACTATTGTTCCATCACACATTCTTGTGAAAAAAACCTGAGGAGCCACACCAACGGTGGGGTTTCTCTTTTTTAAGTGACTAGTGTAAGTAGTCATTTGTGTCCTCTAGTTTGGAGAGAGAGACTAGATATCTTGCTCCTGCATTTTCAAGAGGTATGGTGTTCGAGTTCTGTGACTTTTATACTCCTCTTTGATCCATCCACTAGCTGGGGCTCATTGGTCGACAAGTTTATTATATTATTAATTTTTGTTTCTTCTCTTCACTTTCTTCTGTTTTATTTTTTGGTTTTTCATGTATTCTTTTGTTCTGTGTTTTTATAAAAATGGTATAAAAATGGCTTGGCTTTTTTTTTTTTTTTCATGGTAGTTGGAAGGCCTAATTCCTGACCTGAAAATTGACCAATTGTGCTGTTTTAGATTTAATCTTTGAATTGGCTTTTCTTGGCTGTTTTGTTTTGATTTCATGCTTTAGGACTGTTCCTTTGCTCTCTTAAACTTGGTTTTTGGCCTGTCTGTTCAGTGTTGTTATAGAATCAACGGATATGAGATAGTGAAGTTTTAATTATAACTAAATTATTCAGAAATAGAATTAATTATAATTATGGCATATGGATCTGCAACCCAAAATAGATAATTCAGAATGGGTAAGTATGTTGACTAAATATAAGTGATAATTAGTATAAGTGATAGCAAGTTTGACACCCCTTTTTGTCAAGTTTTTTGCCTTTAACTTTATTTTAAAAGTTGGTTTTTATCTTTTTGAAAGCATTTATATTTCTGAAAATTCAGTTCTGGTTTTTTGGTTAAACAGGTCTTGGCTACTACCTTTGATCCATATTTGGGTGGCAGGAACTTTGATGAGGCTTTAGTAGACTACTTCTGTGAGGAGTTCAAGACCAAATATAAGATAAATGTGAAAGAAAATTCTCGGGCTTTGTTGCGTTTATATCAGGAATGTGAAAAACTGAAGAAGCTAATGAGTGCAAATGCATCAGATCTTCCACTGAACATTGAGTGTTTCATGAATGACCTTGATGTTTCTAGTAAAATGAACAGGTACCGTGTATGTTTTCAATTTAAGAAGTGTTGGCTTATTTTATGTTTAGATCATGTCTGATATTTTTCATCCTGTTTAGAAGATCTACTTGAATTTTATATCCCAAAATGATGAATTTTATTTACTTTTCCCACAGGGCTCAATTTGAACAGTTATGTGCTTCCCTCTTCACCAGGGTTGAGCCACCATTAAAAGCAGTAATGGAACAATCTAGTAAGTGTAAATTACTAGACTAACCATCAAAATTGTATTATGGCATTAACTCACTTGAATGGGGTAGGAAATGGTAAAAGTGATGAAAACTTTCATTTGTTTTTTGAGATTTCTATCTCTCATTTTAAGATTTTTTATTTTATTTACTTGACAGAGAGAGATCACAAGTAGATAGAGAGGCAGGCAGAGAGAGTCGGGGAAGCAGGCTCCCTCCTGAGCAGAAAGCCTGATGTGTGGGGCTCGATCCTGGGATGCCGGGATCATGACCTGAGCCAAAGGCAGAGGCTTAACCCACTGAGCCACCCAGGAGCCCCTTTATCTCTCGTTTTAGAGAGGGAGATTTTAGCTACATTCATAAGAGTAAAGGCACTATGAATCTGGGTTTATGAGACTAATTCCTGACTTATGTTATTGTTTACATCATAAAACTAACATTAGTTATATTTGGAGGTGTTTATATGTAAGTATCCTGTAAAGTCTAAGATGAGAAAAAAGTAGAAATGGGACATGATTGCATTTTGTTAAGGTTTTTGGTAACCATTACTTTCTATGGGTATTTGTGAGGTGAAAATTAGAAAATTGAAGGACTCTGGAGAGCCCATGAGGTACTTGTCTGTTCTTATTGTCACTCTGTCATCTCGACCAAGTGCAGTGCTTGATGCATGGATAGTTAATATTTATTAAGTTTTGACTTTTTCTAAAATTTGTTTTTATCTTTTTTCTATTTAGTCTTGTTTTTAGCAAAAACGAAATCATTTTTTTTTTTTTTTAAGTACCTTTAAAGTACCTTCCAAGGTCTTTTGGTCACATTTTAATAAAGACTATCTTATTTTTCGCAATTAAAAACATTTTGTTTTCCAGACTTGCAACGTGAAGACATAAGTAGTATAGAAATTGTAGGGGGAGCAACTCGAATTCCTGCAGTGAAAGAACAAATCACTAAATTCTTTCTTAAAGACATAAGTACCACATTAAATGCTGATGAAGCTGTTGCAAGAGGATGTGCATTACAGGTATGATTATTTAATAATCTCCCTCTTTTTTACAGTATATTTTTTGCCAGAAATATGGTGATAAGCCTAAAGGGACCTTTTAATATTATTTGTTCGAACCACTTGTCAATAGGCTAAAAATAAATTTAAATTTTTCCTGATAAGTAAGTCTTGCATTTTTCCAATTTATGTTTTTAAACTGTCATAGGACAATGTCTATACTGTAGTGAAAGAACATTTACTTTATGAATTTTTATATTTATTCCCATTTAAAATTATTTTTTCAGATTTAAAAATATTTTAAATTTTTGTAAGGTCATAGAGTACTCTTGGCATTTTAAAGTAGCTCTTACCAAAAGACTGTAATTTTTAGGACGTAACGATTTTATTACAAGGACTTTATCAAGCAGTTCAGTCAGGGTAACCTATGGTATGTTTTGTGTCTGTTGATTTAAATATGGTATACATCTTATTTTCAGTGTGCGATTCTCTCACCAGCATTTAAAGTGCGTGAATTTTCTATAACAGACCTTGTTCCCTATTCAATCACATTAAGATGGAAGACCTCTTTTGAAGATGGAACTGGGTAAGTTACTTTTAAAGCCTTGGTTAGTTAGAGCTTGTTGTAAATAACTAATTGAAAGAACTTTCTGAACTAGAGGAATTTACTCTTCTAAAACTCTCAAATACTTTTTTTTTTAAAGATTTTATTTATGAAAACTCAAATACTTTTGAATAAAATGTTAGCGAAAAGGAACTATAAAATATTATATAACATGTAAACCATGATGGCATATTTTTGATTAATATTTTAGTATAAAGTAAATCATTTTTATTTTCGAATAAAATCACAATATGGAAATATAAAAATTTTAAAAACCTGCATCTGCCCTACCCCAAGTCCTACTTAGCCCATTTTACAAAGGTAGCCATTGTTAATAGCTACACTTACGTTTACATTTATCCATTTTCTTGAATATCCAAAAATAAAAGTTGCACTTTTTAAATACATACATCATCTGAATGTTTTCCAGTGCAACTTCCTTTTTAATATGTTACATACTACCTTTCCATGTCAATAGACAGTGACTGTTTTCTCAGCAGTTGTGTGTGCCATAATTAATTTAACGAATACACCCTAAAGTCTTATTTTTTCTGATTCAGTTAGTGCTATTAGGAACATCCTTGTACACATTTCCTTGTTTAGTTGGGTTTAGTATATCTGTAAGATAACTATATAGGACCGAAATTGACTCAAAGGATATGAGCATTATTATAACCAGTATTGCCGCACTATTCACCAAAAGGATTATACCAATTTATATTCCTTTTAACATTGCTGAATTATCTGTTGTAGCTCATTTTCTTCTATGCTTTTTTTTTTTTTAAAGATTTTATTTATTTATTTGACAGAGATCACAGGCAGAGAGGCAGGCAGAGAGAGAGAGGGAAGCAGGCTCCCTGCTGAGCAGAGAGCCGGATTCGGGGCTCGATCCCAGGACCCTGGGATCAGGACCTTGGGATCATGACCTGAGCCAATGGCAGAGGCTTTAACCCACTGAGCCACCCAGGCGCCCCTTCTTCTATGCTTTTAAAGATAACATTCTGGGGGCGCCTGGGTGGCTCAGTGGGTTAAAGCCTCTGCCTTCGGCCTCAGGTCATGATCTCAGGGTCCTGGGATGGAGCCCCACATCGGGCTCTCTGCTCAGCAGGGAGCCTGCTTCCCTCTCTCTCTGCCTGCCTCTCTGCCTACTTGTGATCTCTCTCTCTCTGTCAAATAAAATCTTAAAAAAAAAAAAAAAGATAACATTCTGAAAGTGAAAATAAGTACTTTGTTAATAGATTTGCATTTCTGACTTTCATGAGCCACAGTCTTTTCATGCTTTTATTGACGTTTACATTTCCTTTTCCATGAACTGCTTAAGATTGAAATAGCTTGCTTCCCTACCAAAATAAAAATTTGTGTTTCCAATAATATATCTGACTAGATTTCAGAGCTTAAAATGTGTACAAAAAGATAAACCTGTATTTAGATTTTAAAGTTACTTTTAAAATTTTGTTCTGTGCTCTTTACATCCACACCCCCAAGAAACTAAAAGTTTTACACAAATTCTGAAACTATGGATCATCAGTCTGATCTGAATGTTTTGCAGAACATTTAAATGGCATGTCCTAATGTCAATTTTGAGGCAAGAAATGCTGTTCTTTAAAGTTAACTTCAGGGGCACCTGGCTGGCTCAGTTGGAAGAGCATGTGACTCTTGATGTTAGGGTTGTAAGTTTGAGCTCCATGTTGGGTGTAGAGATTAACTTAAATAAACGTTATTTTTTTTAAAGATTGTATTTATTCGAGAGAGTGAGTGAGAGAGAGGTCATGAGCAGAGTGAGGGGCAGAGGAAGAAGCAGACTCCCTGCTAAACAAGGAGCCCATTGCAGCATTCCATCCTAGGACCTTGGGATCATGACCTGAGCTGAAGGCAGATGCCTAATCCACTGAGCCACCCAGGAGCCCCTAAATAAACTTTAAAGTAGATAATTAAAGTTAAGTTGAAGATACAGTGATCCAGAAAAGTATTTTAAGAAACATATGGGGAGTTAAATTGAAAAATAAATCTATCCTAGTAATTACTATAAGAAAGTAAAAGATAATGTAGGTTTTTGAAAGCTGGGATAGAGGGCAAGGTCCACGAATATGAGATTTGCAAACCTTGCATAATGAATAGGGTAATGGTATAGTATTATAGAGTAAGATTCTGGGCCACTATAAACAATAGTTTAAGCTATTTCTGTTAAACTGTTTAAAGAGTGGGACTTCTTATGTAGATTTTAAAACTTCCTGTACTAGAGAGGAAGAAATACTATGACATTATTATATCAGTTGAAAAAGTTGGAATATGGAAGTATCAGTGCAAATTTATAAAGTTGACAGCTGTACTGTGGTTATAGTAGAAAATATCCCTGTTAGGAAATACACACTGAAGTACTTAGATGTAAAGGGCTGTAATGGATGTAACATCCTCCACTGGTTCTGAAAAAAATACACATGTACATAGAGTGTGCACTTAAGTGATTAGAAAAGTGGAATAAAATGCTGGCAGTAAATCTAGTTAAAAGATATATAGGTGTTCCTTGTTCCTTTAGTTTCTTGTGCTATTATTTTTGCTCCTTTCTGTAAGTTTGAAATTAGTTTCAAATTAAAGTATTTTAAAGGGAGCTAGAATTAAAAGGGTTACATATGACAAGTATTTTGGAAACTGATAGGAGTTTGTCCACAGATGTGAGCAAAAAACTACTTCCTGTATTTTGGCCTCAAAATATACCTTGTCTCAGTTCATTTTTCTTTTTTTTTGGTAGGATAAAATTGTCTCATGACAGACATTCTAAAAACTTTGAGCCATAAACCTATCAAATTGTATGTTCATAGCAAAACCAGTAATTCTTTATCTTTTACATTTGTGATAGAGGTCTTTACAGTTGCTGCTTTTGAATTAGGAATCACATGGATTCTGTAATTAGATTCATAGACAACTTCCTGTTTATTTTGAACTATTTTCCCACTTCATTTTAGGGAATGTGAAGTATTCTGTAAGAACCATCCTGCCCCATTTTCAAAAGTCATTACTTTCCACAAGAAGGAACCATTTGAACTAGAAGCATTTTATACTAATTTACATGAAGTGCCTTATCCTGATCCAAGAATTGGTAAGAGAACTCAAGAAAAAAATTTCACAAACTTTTGCTTTATAAATATATTAACATTTGAATCAAGTAATTAATAAATTGATGTTTGAGCTAAGCTAGCACTGAAAGCTATTCATACTTTTTCTAAGCATGCGCTTTTAGTACTCACAGTTTATCCTGGAATAACAGCAGATCTGAATATTTTTAATTCATTTTGACTTCTCCATTTAAAATGCCCTGTAGGGGCGCCTGGGTGGCTCAGTGGGTTAAAGCCTCTGCCTTCGGCTCAGGTCATGATCCCAGGGTCCTGGGATCGAGCCCCACATCGGGCTCTCTGCTCAGCGGGGAGCCTGCTTCCTCCTCTCTATCTGCCTGCCTCTCTGCCTCCTTGTGATTTCTGTCTGTCAAATAAATAAATAAATCTTTAAAAAAAAAAAAAAATAAAAAAAAATAAAATAAAATAAAATGCCCTGTAATTTGCCTGAAAGGTTTGGGTAAGGGTCATTTTTTTATGGAAAAACTCCTTCAACAGTAAGTTGAAATTGTGCTGTTAGACTATGTATTCTGACTTTAAACTTAAGTTCCCTGGCAACAACTAGAATGCATATCTTTGGATCAATACAAAAGTGAAAATTGGGGACTATAATAACTATATAATATTATAATAACTATAATAATAACTGTTTTAGCTGAGTAATTTTTTTTAGAGATATAAAACAAAAGTGTGATTTTTATAACATTAAAGAGAAGGAATAATTTATAATTCTTTAACTTTTCTGTTTGTATCGCTTTTATTAATAGACTAAAAAGGGAACAATCTGAATATCTCAAATACGTTATTTAAAGCAGTAGAAATAAGTTAGGGAAGGTGGAATTCATTTGCCCTTGCTTCTGTAACTGAGTGGCTTAAACAGAATTTGTTGTCTCCAGTTCTAGAAGCTAGGAGTATGAAATCAAAGTGTTGACAGGATTCCTTCTGAGGGTTTTGAGGAAAGGATCTGCTCCAGGCTTCTGTCCTTGGTTGGTAGATGGCCATCTTCATGTTCAGAAGACATTTGCCCTATATGTGTATCTGTCTCCATATAAGGACATCAGTCACTGGATTAAAGCCTAGCCTGATAACCTCATTTTAACCTGATTACCTCTGCTAAGACCTTGTCTTCCAAATAAGGTCATCTTCTGAGGTACTTGAGAATAGGACTTTATATTAATTTGAGGGTAAGGGTCTCAATTCAACCTGTAACAAAGGTCAACCAAATTTTTTACTTCAGTTTTTCTGCCTAGTGTCCTTTCTGTACTATAGATATCATTAAATATTATGGATTTTTAAAAATAGCAGAAGGGCACCTGTCTGGCTCAGTTGGAAGAGTTGTGTGAATCTTAATCTTGGGGTTGTGAGTTCATGTTGGGTGTAGAGATTACCTAAAAATAAGGTATTTTAAAAGATAAAATAGTTTCTTAAAGTGAAAAGTTAATATCTTTGTAGGTATTAGTGACTGAATAACTTAGCAATTTTGTAACAGGGTAAAGTTTTTAAAAATTGCTTTATTTGCAAATTACCGAGATGGTTATGATTTGCAAAACTTGGAGCAAAAGGATAATGTCCATTTTTATCAAGCTCATAAATTTTGTTATTTTGGTTTTAAAATAACAATTTATAAAATACTTAAAAGCTCTATTGCCTTGAGTCAAATTGTCCTTTGTCCTAGCATTGATGATTTGGGGCAGGCTGCTTAACCCTTCTAAATCTTAATATTAGGTCCATTAAGATATAAAAAAGAGGTGATCTAGGGTCAGTGCATTTTCCACAGTAGTTATTCTGGATATAATTTATGATTATTTGCCTTCATCTAAAAGAATGAATGAATAAATTAATTGGAGGCTCATGTTCTGATGGAAGCTCTTTTTTCCTTAAGGGAGCTTCACTATTCAGAATGTTTTTCCTCAGTCTGATGGTGATAGTTCCAAAGTGAAGGTTAAAGTTCGTGTTAACATCCATGGAATCTTCAGTGTGGCCAGTGCATCAGTAATTGAGAAGCAAAATGTGGAAGGGGATCACAGTGATGCTCCTATGGAGACAGAAACTTCATTTAAGAATGAAAGCAAAGACGATGTGGTATGTAGAAAACGTATTGCAAGGTTCCTCTAATAATTATTTAGTTTTTTATTTATAACTGATAGCTTAAAAGTTGAAAATATTAATCTCTGAGGCTTTACTGTAAAAATTGATATAAACTTTTTAAATAAAAGCATCAAAGAATGATTTTTTAAGTATAATTTTAAATGCTATACATCTTTCACATTTTTAAACTCTTTAGAGGTTTTGCATCTTTAATAGCCTTAGATGAAACACATGTGTTTGGAGTCATCTTTCCTAAATTCTTCTTTATTTCCATTAAAAATATGTATTATGGCTAGCTTTTTAGCTTAGAGATAAATCCATTCAGATTGATACATTTTGAACTATACATGTACCTTTTTTTTAGATAAAGTACATGCTTAATGCTATTTTTCTGGGCTTAGGGGATATCTGTGGTATTTGAACATAAGAGTGTGCTATATATTCAGTAATGTCAATACAGATTTTAGACTGTTTATTTCCTTAGGAAAGAGTTACATGACCCTAAGACTATATTACTCTTCGTATACTTTAGATGCAGGAATCGTAGGAGAACGTGATATTTTCCATTACACAAAGGTTTCATCTTTTTATATATGTACTATTTATAAGTTATTTTTAATGGGATATTAGATTTTGTTTTGGTAATAATTGGAAATATGTCCTAGATTTTTTGTGTTTTGTGTATATTAGGAATGGATTTTTTTTTTTTTTAAGATTTTATTTATTTATTTGACAGAGATCACAAGTAGACGGAGAGGCAGGCAGAGAGATAGAGAGGGAAGCAGGCTCCCTCCTGAGCAGAGAGCCCAGTGCAGAACTCGATCACAGGACCCTGAGATCATGACCTGAGCCGAAGGCAGCGGCTTAACCCACTGAGCCACCCAGGCGCCCCTATTAGGAATGGATTTTGAGGGTGCCTGGGTGATGTGGCTCATGGGGCATCCAACTCTTGATTTCAGCTCAGGCTGTGATCTCAGGGTTGTGAGATCAAGCTCTGCGTTGGGGAGTCTGCTTGAGATTCTCTCTCCCTTTGCCATTCCTGCTTATGTGCCCTCTCTCTCTCAAATAGAAGAATAAATTAAAAAAAAATGGATTTTGTTTTATTAAATTTCAAGACTATTTCTCCCTTTTGTGAAGTTTGTCTCTTTGTTTTTATTAATACTTACACTAAAATCTTCCACATTGATCAGAATTCTACTGCTGTTTAAAGTACCCATTTAAGAAGGATCATGGCATTTTCTTTCATTCTTCTTCCCATGTATTATTTTGCTATTATATCTTTCCTTGAACTGAGGAGAAAAGAAGTGTCTTAATCTGTTAGTAAAGAGTATAAATTTTTTATAATTAATGTAAGGCTAGTTTTTTTTTTTTAAAGTTAGTTTTCTTAGTTGTAGTTCATAATAATTTGTCAGGCATGTACATTTAATCCATTAAGATTTATTTTTACTAATATTGAGAGACTATGCCATTAGGATGAGTTTTTCATAACTATTTCAGTTTTCTTCACTTCTTTTTCTTAAAAATCTCTGCTGAGACCTTTATTTCGTTTTCTGTATATAGCAGGTCCTAGGCACTAAAAACAATAATATAGCATCCATTTTTCTGCCACCTCTAGCATTTCTTATTTGCTGCTTTTATTTTGTCTGTGGGCTTAAAAGATGATCTGGATGTGGACTTAAAAGATTGCACCTGTGAATAAAGGGTATGAAGTTATGACAGCTGCTTTGGCCATTCAAGAGACTTACTTGCCTACCCAAGAGTGTTTTGGCTTATAGGAACATTTCCAGGTAGTTGATGTCGCCATATAAGGCATTTCTTCTAGATAAGTAAGATGTTCCTAAATATTCTTTCTACAACATACATAACCAAGAGAAAAAGAAAGGTTAATATTGTGGATCATATTCTTGGCATATTTAGCAGGCATGTACCATACATATTATCTCCTTTTAAATCCCTACCATAGCTGGATATAGTAAGTGTTGAATAAATTGTAGTTTATTTCCAAAGCATTGCTAACAAGGAGTGATGTTTGAGTATCCTCTGTAGAAAGCATCCTGTATGCTGTATTTACTTTTTAATGTTTTTCTCTAGGATTTTTTAAATTCTGTATCCAGAAGTTTAAGAGCTAAGTCTTACATACCATTATAAAGTCGTTTCTTCCTTCTTCCCAAAAAATGTGAACCAAATCAGAGTAGACTTTGGAATTTAATTGTTTCAGTTTTAGAGGGAAACTAAGAGGGTAGTAAGTTCTTTTTACTTTTCCCTGCTTGCTGACACTAGTAGCTTTGATGTAAACCCAGTATACAGCAGGAATATTTTGGGGGGGGGGGTTTCCATGAGTTGATTTATGAAAGATTATTTTATGGGCCTCTTTTTTTTTTTTTTTTTTTAATTAGGATAGCTTTGGTTTTCCCAAAAAAATCATAACAGATTGCTGACTTTTCTTCAATATAAAGATACCTCAAAATTAATATTTCTAGGTATATATATATATGTGTATATATATATGTACACATATATGTATTAATATATGGTCATACTAAGAAGTTATCACATCTTAGGCTTTGTCACAAAACCAGAGATCAGAAAGACTATATGCCATTTATTATACTAACATACTTTGATTTTACTATTCCCCAGTTGGCCATTTTTTCAAAATATCTGATTACTTATATGTACAAGGCACTGTTTTAGGCACTGAGAATACAGTGGTAAGCAAGAAAGAAAAGGTCTCCATCTGTCTTTAACTTACATTCTAATGGGAAAGGACAAGCTGGAAACAACAAGATACCATTTAAAGGAAATTAATGGGGGGGGGGGAGATGCATAGTGGAAATTAACTGGTAGTGATAAGGAAAGCCTCTTTGAAGAAGGAACAGGTAAGCCAGCCTGAAAGATGAGAAAGCAGTTTGAAGGTAAGGTGTGGGTAGATGTCTGGGCAGAGAGAGTAACAAGTATAAAGCCACTGAAGCAGAAAGCCCTTTTTTGTTGTAACAAATGCGCAAGGGTAGCTGATACATGAGATACAGGAGTGGAGAAGGTGGGGAGAGTGGCAAGAAAAACAATTGAGAAGGTAGATCAAGGGACAAATCCAGTAAAGCCTTTATATAGTTCATGATAATGATTCTGGATGTTATTCTTTTTTTTTTTTTTAAGATTTACTTACTTATTTTAGAGAGCACAAGCTAGAGGGGCAGTGGGAGAGAGAATCTCAAGCAGACTCTGAACTGAGCATGGAGCCTGATGGCAGGGTTCAGTCTCATGACCCTCAGATCATGATCTGAGCTGAAACCAAGAGTTGGATGCTTAACTAACTGTACCACCCAGGCGCCCCTGGATTTTATTCCTAAGTACTTTTTATTAAGCAAATAACTAAAAGCACAAGAATATGTATATGGATATAGCAGGAAACAGAATAACAATCTGGACCCTCATGCAATTTTAAAATCTGTTAGAGAAGCCAAAGTCTAGAAGCACTTCTTTTAATTTCCCCACCATGGATAATATTTGTATGAACCTTCTCAAATCATTTCAAAAGGTTAACATATTACTCTCAAATCAATTGTAAGCTATACAATTTTCTACTTTTTTTAATATATCTGAAATTGGGGTAGGTTTTGCAAATGATCATATCTTTTATGTATTGTTGCCAGTGGCAGTACTCATGATACAGTTCTCATCACCTGTACAAGTGTGAATTTGGTTGTTATTCCCAATGGCATGACTAGGCAATTGCATCCCCTTGACACTTCCATCAATAAATTGTTTTCAAGACCCTCCATGGAAGGAATTCAAGTCCTGGTTGCTGTCTGAAAACCGACTCCTTTTGGTGTGATAAAACACCATCATAGGGGTGCCCGGGTGGCTTAGTGGGTTAAAGCCTCTGCCTTTGGCTCAGGTCATGATCCCAGGGTCCTGGGATCGAGCCCCACATTGGACTCTCTGCTCAGCAGGGAGCCTTCTTCATCCCGCTCTCTCTCTCTCTCTGCCTGCCTCTCTGCCTACTTGTGATCTCTGTCAAATAAATAAAATCTTAAAAAAAATACCATCATAAACTTGTAGAATAGGTATCAGGGGCTTATAAGAAAATATTAAGAGACCATACTGGAACAATTTTTAAACAAATGCTGGGTCACTGATGCTTTTGATGGCAGAGAGGACAATATTTTGTAGAAAAATACTTAACAACTGAATTAACTGATTCAGAAGAGTTGAAAATTTGAATGTGAAGTTTTAGAAATACCTTAACCACTTCATATGATTTATCTTTTAGAGATAAATATATACATGTTAGAAGAGCTCTTTCAATAAGTATCATAAAAATGCTAACTGATCAAGCATTTTGGCCACTTAATTGAAAGTATTTTTTTCTTAGTATTTCATGAAGTAGAGTTAAATGTATTTGTGTCTTCCTACATTGTACCAACTCACCACTATATCATTTTTTTTCACCTTTTTTCAATCAGGATCAGGGAAATTCTACAGTTGGAAGTTGGCGGGGGGTGGGGTGTGGGTGGAATATCAGAAATACTTGGCTTTTTAAAAAAACTTTTTAAAAGATTTATTAGAGAGCAAGGGGAGGGGCAGAGACAGCATCCACAAGCAGACTTCCTTACATGGGGCTCGATCCCAGGACTCTGAGATCATGACCCCAGCCAAAACCAAGAGTCAGCCACTTTCTCCACTGAGCCACCCAGGCACCCCAGAGATAATTGACCTTTTAACTACAAAGAACACTGGCTAAATGATCTTCTAACTTATTCTCTTTGCCACAAGTAAGCATTTCTTCATGATAGCCTTCTGAGTATTTTATATTTGCTTAACTCCAAATATATAAGATTTAAATTATACTGATTCCTGAATTCCAGGCTTCTTTTTAGTAGATGACCATATAAGGTTAAGAAAGACCAGAAAAATCTATTACTTGTGATTGTTTACCAAGTAGAGTTTATTTTAACTGGTTGAAAGCTTGTCTTTTAGACATTAAAAAATCTTTGAAGTTTACTTTGTAATAATTTGGAGACATCTACTTTGACAGTTCTGATGTATTGGGTATTTTACTACATTTAAAAAAATGAACTTATGTAATACACGTATTTTGTATCTCATTTTCCCACATTTAGTTCTTTAAAAATATTTTTCAAGTCAAATTTAATGTTCTTTTTTTGGTAAGCTTATATTTGTGAATTTTGATTGGTGACTTTAACTTGAAAACCGTTTTCTGTTTCTTTTGTAGTTACTTGACCACAGCTGAATGAAACTGTTTATTCACTTATCATCAAATAGATCTTTTTCTTTTGTGTGTTAATCTATTTATTTGTAGTTATTCTCCATTGGAAAACAGCATTCTACTTTACAATGTTCACACATTACAATTTTGAACACTTAACATGCTGTTTATTTTTAAAAAAATAGAATAAGGAGGACACTTATGTTATCAATTACATTTTTCTATCCAGGATAAAATGCAAGTTGACCAAGAAGAAGGAGGGCATCAAAAATGTCATGCTGAACACACCCCAGAAGAGGAAATTGATCATACAGGAACCAAAACAAAGGTGTGTTTTACTGTTTTTGTGGTTGTGTCTTTTTGAGATTGGTATTTTGAGTAACGTATTTACTTTATACTGCATGCTTTTAATACACTTGATATTTTAAATCTTAGTATAGAGGCATATAACCAGAATAAATACAATTCTATGAGTTTATTATAGAGGATTTTTAAAAGAATGAACACTAACAATGTAAGTAAAATTATCCCTTTGGTGAGAAAAAGAAGATGCATTTTTCAGTAATTTTTTTGTGTCGTTAAAAACCATATAATCCCAGAAAAATAGGAAATATAATAAGCTAAATGAAGAAAACTTACATTGTCAGTAACCTCACATCTCAAAATTAACCACTCTTAGCATTTTGCTGCATATTATACAATATTTCCCTTTGTGCAAAAAAATATATATATACATATATTTTTGAAGGTAAAACTTTAAAGGAGAATTCTTTTATTGAAAGTCATCATTTTACTAAGACAGTTGTTGCCAAAAAAAGGGAGAGACCCCGATCTAATCACCCAGATGAATGGGGCTGCAGTTCTAAATAAACATCTTCAACAGGTCTGTCTAACCTGAACAGAATTTAATCTACATTGGTTAGTTGTAGGTTAGTTGTAGATCTTTCCCAGAGGTTATAAAGATCCTGTTTCAAGCCCTAGGCTCTCAAAACAAAACAAAAAAAAAAACAACAAAACAGTTCTAGGCTCTCTGTAATTTAAAAATTAAAGCCTATTTTTCTAGATTTTCAATTTTTCTTGGTATTTTTTGCTTTAATTGTTTAACAGCTTAAGATATAGTTTATATACCATATAGTCCACCCATTTAAAGTGTACAATTCAATGGTTTTTAATATACTCCATTTTATAAATGTAATAGTGCAGAGTTTTGCAACTATTACTATAGTCATTTTTATAGTGTTATCATCACTCAGGAACTGCCCAACTGTTTTTCCAGAGTGGTTTCAGTATTTTATAATCTTGTTAGCAGTATATCAGAGTTCCAGTTTCTCCACATCCTCACCAATTCTTGTTATTTTCCTTTTTTTCATTATAGCTGTTCCTAGTGAGTGTGAAGTGGCATCTCATTTTGGCTTTAATTTGCATTTCCATCCTGGTGTCTTTTATGTAGAAAGATGTAGTGTATGCAGTGTATAAAATACTATCCATATTAAAGTAGTATTAAGTACAGTAGATGGTAAAAGTTTTGATTTTACTTTTTTGTTTCATCTGAAATCACTTTAAATCTTTTTTTAAGCTGGTTTTATTTTACTTCTCTTGCATTTCTCTTTGCAGTCAGCTCCCTCAGACAAACAAGATCGATTAAACCAGACTATTAAAAAAGGAAAAGTCAAGAGTATTGATCTGCCTATTCAGAGTAGCCTGTGTAGACAATTGGGCCAAGATCTTCTCAACAGCTACATTGAAAATGAGGTATATAAATTTGAGTTGATATTGAAATAAGTGGTAGTGTAGGCTGAAATTTTTGTAAAAGTCAATGATTATGACCCCCCACACACAGTTTGGGTACCTAGTCTATAACCCCTAAGGAATTATTAAGTCATTGAACTACTTTATTTTAGACAAAATACTGAGCTATGTTAATGTCATGTACGGTGTAACTTTCATCAGAGGCAGACATTGTACGGGGAAGTATTAGCAGCTCCCCTCTTCTAATGTGTTCTTAAAGATAAGGCTCTATTCAGAATATTTTCTGACTTAAGATCTATTGTCATTCTTGAAATTTTCTTTACATGTCTAATTACATGTATCTAATTTTATAGTCTCTCGAGGAAAAGAGTTCTGTTTCTTGACTAGCAGTTGTGTAAGAAATTATTTTTAAAACGTCTAAGTAGTGGTAATTTCTACAGCTTGGCTAGTGTTAGAAAAAATCAGTTTTCTTTGAAGCACCAATATTCTCCTCTTGGTGCACATTATTCTGGGAATTTCTTCAAGAGAATTTGACTTATAATGATTGCCCTGTTTAGTACCTATCTATATTGCCTGTTCATTAACTATTAAGGTGAAGCAAGCATTCTTGGAGACCATGAGTAATTAAGAATTTGTTTTGAGACAAATTAATTTTCCCAAAGGAATAAACTGTAGGCAAGTGCTGCTGTGGCAAATTTTGTGTATACGATTTTTTTTAAGGTTTTAAAAGAATGAACACTAACAATGTAAATTCCAAAGGTCTGTACACTGTAGTCTTCTGTTTAAAATACTGTGTTTCTGTTAAAGTGAAAATTTTGTTTAGGTATTAACAATTCTCAGATTCTCTATTTCTTTGCATTAGTTATAACAATCATATTTGCTAAACCTCTTAAAACACATTGATATTGTATTTAATACTCAAACCTGTGAAGTATAAGTACTGTTAGAGATTTATATTTTACAGATGAAGTGACAGGAACAGGTAGTCTAATCATACAAGGTCAGAGAGTAACCTTTGAGTTGCACCTGGGTAATCTGTCTCCAAAGCTCAAGATCACAACCGCTATACTATATCCCCTTCCAGAGCTAACATTTATTCAGCATGAGTTAGGTGCTAGGCACTATACTAAAATTTTATGTGAATTATATCAATTTTACTAACAGCCCTAACAGACAGATAGTTGTATTCTATCTGTTTTAGGATAAGAAAACTGAGGCTTAGAGAGGTTCAGTGAACTTGCTGTGATCTCAAAGCTAGTAAACGGAGAGCCAAGGTATTGAACCCGACTATGTACAATGACATAGTCTATGTGGGGTTTTTTAAATAGCTTTATTGAGATATAATTCACATACCATACAGTTAACCCATTCAAAGTGTAGTTTGGTGGCTTTTGGAATATTACACTTTACTAATCTTTTAAATTGTAGTAAAATGTATATAACATAAAATTTGCCATTTGACTAAATGTACAGCAATTCAGTGGCATTGTTAAATTCAAAGTTTCGTGAATTGTCACCACTGCCTATTTCTTTTTCATAACTTTTTCATAATCCCAGAAAGTCTGTAATCATTAATAACTCACCATTCTTCTCTCCCCCCAACCCCCAGTAAACTCTAGCCACTTTCTGCTCTGGATTTGCCTATTCTAGATAAATCATTTGACTGTAATCATACAATAGTTGTCCTTTTGTGTTTGGTTTCATATACTTTGCATAATGTTTTCAGAGTTCATGTTGTAACATGTATCAGAACGTAACACCTTTTTTAGAATAGAGTAATATTTCATTGGATATATATGTACATTTTATTTATCCATTCATCTGTTAATGGACAACTGAGTTGTCCACCTTTTGGCTATTGTGAATAATATAATATAATATAATACAATATAAATAATACAATATAATAATAATATATAATAATAATTCACAATAATAATATTGTGAATAATATCTGTTTTGAGTTCCTGTTTTCAGTTCCTTTGGTTATATACCTAGGAGTGAAATTGCTGTCATACGGTAAATCTTTGTTTAGCTTTTTGAGGAACCACCAAACTGTTTTACATAATAGATGCAGGATTTTACATTCCCAATAGCAATATGCAAGGGTTAAAAATTCTCTACATCCTCACCAGTGTTGTCCATTTCTTACAATCCATTTCTTTTGATTATAGTCATTCTAATAGGTATGAACAGGTTTTGGTTTGCATTTTCCTGATGCATATTCTTTATCTTTTTTTAATTGAAGTCTAGTTGATATGCAGTGTTACTTTAGTTTCAGATATATAGCATAGTGATAAACTATACATCTTGCTCACCACAAGTATGGCTATCATCCCTCACTATACACTATTATTCTACTATTGACTGTATTCCCTATGCTGTACCTTTTATCCCCATGACTTACTCATTCCTTAGCTCTAAGCCTGTATCTCCACTCCCTTTCACCCATTTTGCCCATCCCCCCACCTATCTCCCCTCTGGCAACCATCAGTTCTGTTTCTATTCTTTGTTTATTCATTTGTTTCATTTTTTAGATTCCACTAAGTGAAATCATATGGCATTTGTTTTTGTCTGACTTGTTTCACTTAACATAGGTCCATTTATGTTGTTGCAAATAGCAAGATTTCATCCTTTTTAATGGCTGAGTAATACTCCATTACACCCTCCACACACACACACACCCAACCCATACCTTCTTCATTCATCTATCAATGGACATGGGTTTCTTCTCTATCTTGGTATTGTAAATAATGCTGCAATAAACAGAGGTGCATACCTCTAATTATTTTTGTTTTCTTTGGGCAGATACCCAGTAGTGGAATTATTGGATCATATGGCACTTCTATTTTTAATTTTTTGAGGAACCTCCTTACTGTTTTCCACAGTTGCTGCACCAATTTATATTCCTACCAACACTGCACGAGGATTCCTTTTTCTCTATGCCTTTAGCACCACTTTTTTCTTGTCTTTTTGATTCTAGCTATTCTGACAGGTATTAGGTGATAGCTCATTGTGGTTTTTATATGCATTTCCCTGATGATTCTCCTGCATATTCTTAATAGCAGCTAATCTAAACGTTTTGAATATAGGGGAAGATGATAATGCAAGATAAATTAGAGAAAGAAAGAAACGATGCTAAGAATGCTGTTGAAGAGTATGTGTATGATTTTAGAGACAAGCTGGGCACGGTCTATGAAAAATTCATCACTCAAGAAGTAAGTCTAAATTTTAAAATTTTTTATTAGAATTCTTTGAGGGGCACCCTGGGTGGCTCAGTTGGTTAAGCATCTGACTCTTGATTTCAGCTCAGGTTGTGATCTCAGGTTCATGAGATCAAGCCCCATATTGGGCTCTGTGCTCAGTGTGGAGTCTGCTCTCTCCCTCTCTCTTCCTCCTTTCTACTTGCGCTCCCATGCACTCTTGCCCATTCACACTGTCTTCCTAAAGTAAATCTTTAAAAAAATGATTTGTTTGACAATGCTGATATGAATTATATAAATAAGCATACCAAATGTGTTACTGTTGTTCTTCTCCTTGAGCCACGTTTAAGAATGGTTCTTAGTTATTTCTCCCAACAGCAGAACTATAGTGAAAAACATGTTTATGAATAAAAAGCCAGAGAAGTTGAAATTTAATCTTTTATACTTGAAAAACGTTCTGTCCTTCTTTGATAACTTTTATTTCTAAGGAATTTTCAGTTAGTGTCTTTTAAATGTATAATTAGGACTTGAATAAACTGTCTGCGATATTGGAAGACACAGAAAATTGGCTTTATGAAGAAGGAGAAGACCAACCTAAACAAATTTATGTGGATAAGCTTCAAGAACTAAAGGTAAATTTTTTAAAGTCCATGTTAGTTTTCAATAGAACATGAAGTTTTCCTAAAAATTATGCTGTAAAAGCAAAGTCTATTTTTAATAAATATATTAGAAAATAATAAAGCAAGATACATGTAGGAAGAAATGTTCTCTAATCTTAAAAGCATTTTTGGAGGGTAATAATGCTACATAATTGAAATCAAATAATGTATAATCATATTTGTTAAGATTTTCAGATATAAATATGTAGCAGATAATTGGAGTGTTACCAGTTTTACACTAGCCATATATTTCTGAGATGTCATTAAGAACAGATTTGTGAACCTAATCCCTTCTTACCCATTAGAGATTACACCCTTTCTCTACTTCTCTCTCCTTCACTGTCATGATTTTGAGGAGTAATATACTGCCCTATTGTATTTTCACATTGCAACTGAGGGGGACACCTGGCCAGTGAAGAAATTAGAAAGTAGCACTCCTGCTCTTGAATGTCCTTCCACAAAGAAATAAGGAGATGTGGCCACCAGGTCTCCCTTTTCTAGGTCCAATGATATAAGAAAAGACCACTATTACTGCTTTCTGCTTATCTGCCCTACCCTGAAAAAAGAAGTTTTAAGTTCACATTACAAGGATGATAGGAAATTTGTCTTTTCTTCTTCTTCTGTGTGGATCATAGCAATACTTGAATGTTCACATAATTACCAGGGGCTCTTACTAAATGTAGACTGTGATTCAGTATATATCTGAATGATGGGCGGTGATTATCTATTTTTAACAAGCTTCCAAGAAATTCTGATGCTGCTGGTCACTGAGCCATTCTGAGTAGCAAGGAAAAAAACGTAGATGACATCGATAATGATTCCTAGGCTATGGGAAAAGACAGCCCTTTAAGGACTGGGAGAGGTGGGGAGTATAAGAGAAGTTACTTAAGAGCAAAAGTTAATATCTTGAAAAAGAACTGTCTTCATGCCAGTAAATTACTTCCATATGGAATAATTAAAAATCAACTAGAAAACCTAAACTTAAAAAAAACTTAAAACCAAAACTAGTCTTTATCACATTTTATCTTGATAGTGTTACTCCCTATCTCCCTAGAAGAATGTATATATTTTGGGTGGTAGGAGCAGCCAGGCAGCTGAGGCCAGTAGAAGAAACTGAAAAGCCCAGCAGCTCTCAAAAAGGATTATTTTACCCCAAATATATAAGTAACCATAGAAATGAATGTTGTAGAAGGCTTCACAGGCCTTAGTATTTTTTTTTTTGAGATGGTTCAAAAATACAGTACTTGGTCCATTTTTCAAAAACATTTACAGTAAGGGGCACAAGGTGGCTCAGTTGGTTAAGCATCTGTCTTTGGCTCAGGTCATGATCCCAAGGACTCCTTGCTCAGTGGGGAGTGTAGTTCTCCCTCTGCTCCTCACCCTCGTGTGTGTGTGTGTGTGTGTGTGTGTGTGTGCGCGCGCACGCGCGCGCACGCTTGCACCCTCTCCCTCTCTCTCTCCCCTCCCCCTGCTCATGGTCAAACATGCTCCACGCTCCTGTGAGCTCTCTCTGTTCCTCCCCCTGCTCATGCACACTCTCACACTCCTGCATGTGTGCATCCTCTTGCTCAAATAAATAAAATCTTAAAAAATTTTTTTCAATAAAAATATGATGTAAGTAGACTAAAGGCAATATGGTATCCTGGAACGGAAAATTATGAAATGAGGTCTGGAGTTCAGTTAATAGTAATGCTCCAGTGTTGGTTTCTTAGTTTTGGCAAGTGTATGTTCTATGGTGGTACAGGATGTTAAAACATCAGAGGAAAAGTAGTGAGAGGTACTCAATGCTCTATTATTTCCTTTATAACTTCTCTGAAAATCTAAAATTAGTCTAAAATATGTTGATTTTTTTAAGTATATAAAGAATAGAAAAGAAAATAGGTATTCATTCTTCTAATGCATCCCCCTCCTCAAAGTTACAGGGGCTGTTAAAACATTTAGAAATTACTCATTCCAAGCATTTGGGGTAAGAGCCAGAGGTTTATTTTTTTGGTTTTGTTTTTTTAAGTGCTATACTCATAGATCCAGAATTTCCACCTAATTAATAAACATAAATAATATTCAGTAGATACTGAATATCCAGAAATTCTAGTAATCATGTTGTTTACAGAGTTATACACAGAAACTTGGTTTCAAATACATGAATTCTGCATGGAGTATTGTCTTTATGGTCTTCTTATTTAATAGTTCTGTAAACTTTTAACACCTAACTTTGAAGGAATTAAAAGTATTGTCTTAAAAATTGTTTTCTGTTAATAACTTTTTCTTTTAAAAAATTTAATAGAAATATGGCCAGCCTATTCAGATGAGGTACATGGAACATGAAGAGAGACCAAAAGCTTTAAACGACTTGGGAAAAAAGATTCAACTTGTTATGAAAGTGATAGAAGCATACAGAAACAAGGTATGAAAACCACAAAGCCAGCTAATGATGATGGCATGTGGGTAGTACATCGTGGCAGTGGGGTAAATCTGTAAGTTCTCAGCTACAAAGCAATAGCAGTTGTTGCCACCAAATTCTGGAGACCTTGTGCACCAAACTTAAAACCTTTTTTTTTTATTGGAGGGGCTCCTGGGTGTCTTGGTCATTTGAGCATCTGACTCTTGATTTTGGCACAGGTCATGATCTCAGGTCTTAGGATCGAGGTCTGTGTTGGGCTCCATGCTGAACATGGACCCTGCTTGGGATTCTCTCTCTCCCTCTCTCTCCACCCCCATCCCTGCCCCATGCATGTACTCTCTCACCAAACAAAACAAAACAAAACAAAAAGTTTTATTTATTGGAAAGTTACATAAAGGGTACTTACACTCCTAAAATACAGTGCAGGTATATGACTTTAATCTCTTAAAATTCCGTAGGTGTCTGTGGTTTTAAAACACATTATCACTATTCTCCCAGTTTTTTGGCTTTGGAGTACTCTTTCATTCCATTTCCCTTTATTTTCCATGTCTAATCTGTAATCCACATTGCATTGCCATTTCTTTCTGGTCTTATGACTACCATCTTAAACCATGAATTCTTAGATTGTTTCCTATATGGGGTGGCTGCAGTTGTGTTTTTCAGACAGAATGTCATTATGTAATTCTCCTTATCAACAACTTACCATGCTGTTCTGCTGTATTTTGAGAATTTTCTGTCTAGCTTGCAGTATGCCTTCTTCTCTTATTTCTCTTTATTCCCTAACAAATTCAGTTCCGAACAGCTTCTTTGTTGGCTAAGTATTGTTCCCTTGAATATTCTCCACTAGGCATTTTTTGGCAAAAATGACTTCTTCAGAAAGCCTTTTCTTTTAAAAATGCACACAGAGGGCTGCCTGGATGGCTCAGTGGGTTGAGCCTCTGCCTTCGGCTTAGGTCATGATCTCAGGGTCCTGGGATTGAACCCTACATCGCATCGGGTTTTGTGCTCAGCGGGGAGCCTGCTTCCCCCCTCTCTCTCTCTCTGCCTGCCTCTCTGCTTACTTGTGATCTCTGTCTGTCAAATAAATAAAATCTTAAAAAAAATAAGAAAAATAAAAGGCAATACCTCAAAACTAAAGTTTAAAAAAAAAATGCACACTGATCTTTTTTCTTTCTCCCAGTCTCTTCAATTCTATATATTTGTATATGGCTTCTTCGCATGGATATGTGTGAGGTATACATTCAATAAGAATCTAAATCTTTTAAATAGAAATTATTAATTGATGTATTAATTGATATAAAAATCTGTTACATTAAGTAAAAAATTTTTAATAGGATGAAAGATACGATCACCTGGATCCTACTGAAGTGGAAAAAGTTGAAAAATATATCAGCGACGCCATGAGTTGGCTGAACAGTAAGATGAATGCACAGAACAAACTAAGTCTCACTCAAGATCCTGTGGTGAAAGTTTCAGAAATAGTTGCAAAGTCAAAGGTAAGTTACCTACAAAATTCTTTTTTTAATGGGTTCAAGCATTAAATATTTTTAATGGGAGCCGTACTTTGAGAAATCATCAACTTGCAAAAGAACTTAGAGAAATAAGTTTAAGGCTAATTTTTAATTTTGAAAAAAAAAAAAAAAAATTTTAGGTGGGACATCCCTGTCCCTTGATTTAGTCACATACACAAGGCTGTTTTTTACATTTTAAGTGTAATGCAGAAAGAAAGAAAGCAATGTGATAATTTACTGTTAAATACTTCAGACTTTTCTAGATTAGATAAGACTTCTAAATCTCCATAGTAAAACTTTGCAGCATTGGTCTTTGACATCATTTGAAACCTGTAAAATTCTGTGGTAAATCTTATTTCTGAGATAAATTTCCCAGTCTAAAAAACATTACCCATGAAAATACAAAAGATTATCATAGAAAAGAACACCATGAAAAACATAGAGACAAATTTTATAATAAAGATAAGCATCTTAGTAGAAAAATGAGAAAAAACATTGGATAGCAATTGACAAAAGAAGGTATACATGTCCAATAAATATATATGAAAAGGTGTTCATCTTCATCACATTCTTCTCCTCCCATCTCTTTTCATCTGATTCATGGTTTTGTGTTTACATTCATAATCTTTGTCATAAGTTGTCAAGGGTGCAAAGAATTGGATGTTCTCCCTTAGCAACTTGAATTTGTTAAAACATTTTGTATCAGTATATGTTTAGAAATTTAAAGGACATATAGGTACCCTTTAACCCAGAAATCACAATTGTAGGAATTCATCCTAAACTGATCATTGCACAGGGATAGGCACATAAATACCCTTGCTTATTAATTAGCAAAAAATTGGAAGAAACACATACCTGGCAGTAAGAAATTAGATAAATTGAAGCATCCATTCAACACTTTGCAATCATTACGTAATTTTAGATACAGAGATCTATTTAGATAGAAAGATGTGTACAACATACTGCATGAAAAAGGAAAGATTACAGAACCTAAATGACATTATTTCACTGTATAAATTAGCAAGCCTCTTCACAGATCTGTAGGCTTGCAGGTATGTGTATGCATGGACATACACCTAGAAGGATATTCACTAAAATGTTCACGTTAATCTGTAGAAGATGGAATTTCAGGTGCTCTTTTTATTTTTTTGCCTTACCTAGTTCAATGTGTTTTCAAGGTTTTTGTTTTTGCTTTTTTTTAAACAATAAACAGGTATTTTTTAAATCAAAGCAAAGTATTTTCCTTTTGAGAGAGTTTTGCAAAGAAGACATAATAATTTACTCCTAATCAGATGTAGGTGGTAAGAGCAGTTTCCCCCAGGTTGTTAACTCCCTTTCTGTCCCTATCCCGATCTCTGTGACACTGGTCTTGGGGATTTTAATGGTCTTTTATTTCTGTGTTAAAAAGAAATAAGCAAAGATAAATTACATTGTACTTACTTTAAATTATTAAGTTGCATTTACATTCATGACTTAATTTTCTTTCAGCACAGTTCTACAGTTCCACTTATGAAAGCTGTTTTCATGTAAATACCAATTTATGAAATGTGTTATTTGATATAATTCTCAGAGCACTAGGTATAATTTAAAGGAATGAATTAAAAATTATTTCTGTCCAAGAAAACTATATCTCAATTATGAGGAACCAGTTTTTAGGAAGATTAGATACAAAGAATTTGTTAAAGATTGAAGAGTTCCTTGTCAGCATTAATATGCACTAACCCAGAAATAAATGCTTTATTGATGTATTTGAAGAAACTTGGTTATCTAACTGAGCTAACATAAATTTAGGAATATCTTATTAATGTGGAAATTTAGAAAATTAATGGTAATCTGTTCTGTAGTATTTTTACTATCATTTTTCTTCATGTCTTTAGGAACTGGATAATTTCTGTAACCCCATCATTCACAAGCCCAAACCGAAAGTAGAGGTTGCTGAAGACAAAGCAAAAGCTAATAGTGAACACAATGGACCAATGGATGGACAGAGTGGGACTGAAACTAAACCAGATACAACAAAAGACAGCTCCCAGCATACTAAATCTTCTGGAGAGATGGAAGTGGACTAAGTCTTAATTTTACCTTCACATAATTCAAACAGTGCAAGCAACCATAAGGTCCATTCTTCCTTTTACATGTGGTACACACAACATATGTTCCGTTGTTCTTAACCACTTTTTGTCATTTGTTTTTTGGAGTAGTTTTGAAAAGTGTTCTGTATTGAGTGCACCTCTGTTCATTTCCATTGCTGCTTATGTGAAGCTTTAGCTGAGTATAGATTTACAAGTCAGTTTTAGCTTTCTTAATACATGTTCTATCAAACATGCGAGACTGATATGTATTTGGCAACAATCTACCTTATTTAAAGCTTCTCCTTGGATAAACCTCAGCTCCTGTATTCAGGAGAGGATACTGTATTGCACTATTGTTGCAGAAGCGTAGATTTAATTGCATCATCATTTTGAAAAACATTGAAATGGATGTGGTTTAAAGCCACTGAGGCACTGACTTTTTTTCTAGTTATTGTAGTTATAATTTAAATATTAAAACAGATGATCTCATTGGTATGCAATGAGAACTCCAAAGTATTGTCATCACATAAATGAAATAAATCACATGAAAGGGAAACACAATTTTTATGTTACAGTGACACCAGCAGTTTGCATCTTTTATTAGTAATGTGGATTGATGTTTTCTGAGAGTAATTCAGTGTCATTTTCACTTGAAACTTCTGATCTACTTGTCCTGAAGACCAGCTGCTGCTAAAGTAATACTAGCCTAAAGATAAGAAGCATTATTGATGAAAATACCTTCATGTTAAGGGGGAAATTCTGTTGACCTACTCAGACATGCATCTGTGATGTTGATAGCCTTGTTTCAGTTTTAATAGTTGTTTTGGTTTTCTTAATTGATTTTGTTAATAACACAGGGTAGGGAGAAATGGGCACAATGTGTATCGCATTATATACATTTATCACTGATTTACTTAATGTTAAGAAGTAGATAAACACTATTAAATAAGCGGTAATACTTGAAAAGAAGTACTTTTACCGTTAAGTCTTAGGAAATAATGCTTGTAATAAACTTAACTATGTTACATATCAACAGGCAAAATATAGAATGTTACATAAGTGTAATATGATATGATGTGATTAAATTATAGTTCCTGCTGTTACATTACCTGTTCAGATGTTGGCTCCAGTTTTGGTGCTTCTTAAATATATTACATGGGACAAAGGACTGTGAAATTAAGATATTTTAAGCACTTAAATCTGTGCTCCATCACCAGACTTGTTCACATTGTTCAGTTCCTTCCAGAAGCTTGAAACTAAATTTTAAGTATGGGAGCAGACTGAAATGACTTTGCAAACCTACAAGAAGCATAGACAATGCCATGGGCACTGGTGTTTCATGCCAATCAACTAGATTAACCTAAGTTAAAATTTTGAAAGGCTCACTTTTCCCCCAAAGCTAACCCTTTATATTAATACTGACTTTTCTTAAGTAGTAAAAATTGAGAGTTGAATATCTTTAGGGATAGTCATTATTTCTCAGAGATAGTTCTCGTAAGAGAGATTTTGTTTCTACAATGTAGTCTGCACTGAAAGGGAGAGTATGGAGCAGTGCATTTTGCAGGGATTTTTATTCATCCTTTTTGAGGGAGATGTCCCTTTTTTGCATTAAAAAAATCATATAGACCCAACATATTTTTAATGTCTTCTAGTCTTCAAACTTGTCTTAATACTCTAAAGGTGAACTAATTATACCCATTAATAATGAAGTACTTTTTTTTTCTTTAAAGCAGTTATTTTTCCTTTATAGATTAAATATGTAGGTTCATTTCAGGAAGAGCATCAAAGATAGAAAGGAATATTTCAACAGTAGACATTAGGGAGGTTATAGCTTTTACTGGAGTTACAAGAAAATCTCCAGGAACTTCATTAGGAGCTATATGGCCCCATAAATTCTTGTAGACAAATGAGGAAATAGCCCTTTCTGCACCTGAATTGCCTAATTATACTTGATATTTTCTGTTCCTTCTTTTCAGTTCATGTAGCTCTGTTTTAGTCAAAGATATTTAACATTCTAATTCTTGCAGTTATATAACACTTAACAAAGATGATATGTATAACTTTTCCTACTCATTCAACTTAAATATTTTCAAAAGCCCTTTAACCTTATGATGTGGTTATTTATCAAGTATATTAATAAAGGAAAATATGTTCTCCTTAATACAGTTTTGGGTAGAAGGCATGGATCAGTTTAATTTTAATCACTGAAATATGTTCAGTACTAAACATAATTTTTTTCAGAATAAAAGGCCACTATTTTAGAAGTTATTTTAAAAGACATAAAAAATTAGAATGTTTTCCTATAATCAAATATGAACTAAGTATGTAGAAAATACCTAGGATGATTAATAAATATAGATTAGTACACTCTGGAAAAGTATAAATTGGTTTCAGAATCCAACTCCTGATAGTCAATAATACTGTGATTTTGCTTAAATAAGAAAGTTTGTGATGTTTCAGTTCCTTAGCAGTATACAGAATTCTTAAGTTTTAAACAACTAGAAACAGCACACCAAAGAATTGGGCTTTTGGAATAAACAGATCATCTGTGTTTAAGAGTATAATTAATTAGACTTTTATTAAGGAATAAAGATCTTGGCCAATTTTTAGTATATTTATGATTATTTCCTAGATAGAAGTCTATATTAAAGTGAATTTGGGGGCTCAATTTTCAATATAATAAGTGTTAAAGCATTTTATCCAAATTAGCACATCTTGAACTGTTTTGAGAAATTATCAACTTTTAAAGACAATAGGCATTCAGATACAGTAAACCAGTTAGCTGACTTCATTTTGACCTGAAATAGAACCATTCCTCCATTTTCAAAAATTTGATTTTTAATAATAAACCTATAAACCTTCCCATTAGGATTTTTTAAAAATAGCTGATATTTGGTAGTTTACAGCAAATGAAACCCTGGCATTGATCTTACATACAGAAGTGATTCTTAAATGACAAGAAAAATATAACTTTACCTAACATTTTAGAGTTTTATAACCAATAACTGCAGTTCTAAGGTAAATGTTATTTTGTGGTTAAACTTTGGAAGTTTTAGGTGGAATTTGCCTTTGTGATATTTGATCCTACAAAATTAATGATAAGCATAACTTAATCAGTATTTAAAGTCTGGTGGCACTGATTAAAGTGAGCCACTGAGAACTTTCCAAATGACATAGGTAGTAGCAATGCTTATAAAGTGTGATTCTAGTATTTTATTATCCTCTTACTCTACAGTGGTTTGTAACTATCGTTTAGCAAACTAATCTTGAAGTAGTCAATTTCAGAAGACACTTTTTTTGATCAAAAAAGAAAAAGGTTTATAGTTACCTTTTGTTTTTTGTCAAGGTCTTATTTAATCTAAGGTCTTACCATTTTAAAGTTCCCAGGAAGCATATAATTTTTTCTTCCAATAATGTAACAAAACTTTAATGCAGATGTAAAAGACCAAATGAAACTTAACCAAAACAAACAAAAAACTTCAGCTGTTTTGCTTCCAATCTCTAATTTAAAAAAGTACTAAAATTAATGGTCTTCCATATAGTCCTTTGTTTCCCAAGAAAACAGCAGCTTTGAGTTTATAAAACAGGCGTCTAAATTCTTTTCTTGCTAAATTCAAGGGTATTTGTTTCACACAAAAAAGGGCACCTGGAATTCTTAGAATATTAAACTGAAACTGCTTAGAAGACAACTTAAATCTCTCTGGCAGTGGTAAAGTACCTATTAGGTGGTAATTGTTCTTTCATCTTCCAGATCCCTAAGGACACGTCCTCTAGCATATTATCAGAGTGGGTACCAAAAGAAAATGCAGATCTATTAAAGTATATTATTAAATGACTAGGAACATTCAAATCAAAGAAGAAAATAATTGAATCATGAACATTTGACTCTGTCAAGCAGGTCAAAATCCATAACTGTAATAAAAATTAACAGTATCATCTTTGCTTTGGAATCTATTACTGTCATGTTCTAAGTTACAGGATTAATTTATTAAGGAAGTAAATTGATAAACCTAAAAAAAATAACCCATCCTGTATAGAGATAAGTGAAATTCAGTATGTTTTACTTTTATAGTGTATAAACTTATAGATGGAAATGATCTTATTCCTGGTTAATCTTGTTTATCTTTTCATTCAGTTCTAAGCTCTGAAATAATCTATTTTTCTCAAGCACATTTTGTTTTTTTTATCTTAGATTCATTAGGTGCTTTATTTCATGATTTTTAAAAATAGTTTCACTGCTATCCTATCACTTCGATAGCTAATTTTATTACCTTTGTCCCATTTAAATACCAAATCTTACTGTGAAGCATGCTTTGACTCTTAAATTCATACTTGAGCCGTGTTGTAAGTTTCCATATATAAATATCTCTAAAATTTAATAATGGCTTCTAGATTTTTCATGTTTTGGCCTTAGAATGCTTTTAAGTAGAATACTTTTTAAAGTACTTCTGGATCAAAAGAGATCAATTTTGTGAATTATTGTGTATTAAGAAACCCAGCATTCCTTATTTTTAATACAAATATCAATGTGAAAAAATAACAAAGTTCAGAAATTCAAAATAGTTGTTAAAGGGTTAGCCACCTTCCATTCTTTGTTGCTCTCTGATTTACATACATGTGCTGTGCATCTTTGTTTTCTTAGAATTTCCTAACTTTTTTACTTCCAAGACCTTGAGTAAAATCCTCTTGAAATCATATGGATCAAACCAAAATAAGATGTTAAAATGTCATTAGAGATAGGGAAATCAAGGTAATGCAAGGTTCTGCTTTAAAGTATTGTATTTTTGTCCCTGAAATAAAATTTTATGGCTTAGTGTTTTAGAAAGAGACTCAAATTAAAAGTGGTTACCTTTTATACTTGGTAGGATGAAGTCATTGTTTAATACTACAGTATATAGAAGCAGTTTTTTAAATGATATTATCATTGTTTTAGTTCTAACAATATGGCATCCAAGTCATTTTTCTTTTCTTCAACCGTTATTAAAATAATTTCTGTACATGGTGACTCTGACTCTAGTCATTAGTGTAAAAAAATTTCTGGCAGTTTAGTTCCTACTAGCTAATTTTTTTTAAGGAAACTACATTTGATTTCTTCATTTCCCAGTTTGTTTTCAATACAAAGAGTAACCAGTGCAATGCATAAAATCATTGCCAAGTATGTGTCTATAAAAATAATCAACTGATTTTTCCATGTTACAGACCCTCAGCTTTAGTGAGCCAACATGAGAATAGGTTGTGATGTTGCGTTGTAACATTCTAGGAATATATATTTGGCATACAGTTTTGGTTCATAAACCTCCTAAAAAATGTTTACATATGGCAGGATCAAAGAATATAAAACAATTTATGTATGTAAACTGACATCTTAGTACTGGTGAACAAATAGAAATTGATAATACAATTAATTTTTGGATGACAGTGCACACTGACAAGTCATGTAATCAGAATAAATCTATATCTACTTCTTGAACCATGCATTTTGCATACCTGAGGTTTAATTTTCACATATTGAACTTCACTGACTGGATGGTAGTTTGCGGACAAGTCCTAAGAAACATTTACAAAAATTTGCTTGTTGATGAGGGTTTTTTAACTGGGCAAATTTTTGAAACCTTCTAATGCTATTGATTCTTAAAACTAAAATAGTTTTCTAATGTTGGATGTGTTGTCAGAGAATAAATTTAGCTTTATATACTGGAAGAGAAAACAGGAATAAATGAATTTGAAGACTTTAGGCACTTTCAGTAGGCATAGAGGAGCTCCATGCCCCAGTGAGTCTCATAATAGCTCCTGCTTGAGAACTGCTGTTGACAAAAATGTATCAAGTAGTTTAGGGTGTTGGGATAAGAAAATGATTAAGGTCCCCTAGTATAGATTAGAGCATTCGGTGCTTAATATTCTAGGGACCAAAAAACACGAAAGAATTAAAGGCTAATGGATCCTCTGTCTAGAAAAATGTTTATATGGACTGTAGACTGTCCAATGAAATGCAAATAAATACTTGTTAAGTCTAGAAGGCTTAACAATTGGCATTTGATTCCTCTTCATCCTGAACTGGGGAGAACTGGATAGGATTTAGGTTTGTTTTGCTTACTTGTTGTAAAACCCAAGTCATTAGTTAAACAGGAAAGACAGAACCTTCCAGGGCTGGAGAAGGAATGTCCGTTGATTATAAGTACCTTCCAATACTTTGTCCTTAAAAATTCTCCCTTTTTAACTATAAGGAACAAAAGGTTCAAAATGGTTTACATAGCCTGGAAATGCCGGAAGGCAGTTTGAACTAATATCCAGCAGCTGCATTGCCAAATGACTGCATTTGGTTTCCTATTTAAGTTCACTGTGATGGTGAAAATCAGTGTAAACCTGAAAGGCTTAGTGTACTGTTTTAGAGCTAGCAAAGGTTAGGTTAAATTAAAAGTTAAATTCATAGGAAAGAAATAATTTGTAGTTAAGAGAACCCTGTTGAAGGCAAAGAGAAGCAAAGAACAAATCACAAAAAATAATAGAAATCCAAATGTCAGTAGTTACAGTAAATATAAATACTGTAAACTTGCCAATTTAAAAACTATGTGGTTTTTATAAAAATAATTCTTAAACACAATGATGTAATAGTTTAAATTGGTGGAATAAAAAAATGCCAATTAAATGAAATTGTGAAACTATTAATCAGATAAAGTTGATTTTAAGGTGAAAAAAATTGGGATAAAAAGTGAGCTTTAATAATGATAAATGGAGCAATTCACTGGGAATTAAAAACTCAAGCTTTGAAATCTATAAAGCAATTGACAGCTACAAAGAGAAATTTAGGTCCAAGGTATCTGTGATAACTGATAGGTAATAGTAATTAAAAAAATTGAATTTTAAAAGCTAGATCTAATAGACTTACATAAATTATCACTCAGCTATTAGGTAAAACTTTAAGTACACATAGAATATTTATAAAAATATCAGTAAACCACAAAGCAAATCTCAACAAACACCAAAAGCCATTATACAGATTTTCAGACAACAGCACAATAAGACGATGAGTAACCCATGAAGAGAGCCCAAAAGAAATTCCTATTCCTATATGCTTGAACTGAAAAAATTAACTTCATGAAACATCAAAGCACATTAAAAATTAGAAAATACTTCAAATGGAATGACATTATAATCATTTTATATATTTTTAAAATATTTTTTAAATTGCAAATGCACCTCTTTGAGATTTAAGATCTATTTTTCTCATTGCAATACACAAGAACGCACGTAAGTGTTCAGCAATATTTAAATAAATGAAAGCTGCATGTAAGACTTGATAATGGGACACCTGGGTGAAAAACTTAAGTGTCTGCCTTCAGCTTGAGTCATGATCCCAGAGTCCCAGGATAAAGCCCGCTGAGCAGGGAGCCTGCTTCTCCCTCTGCCTGCAGCTCCCCCTGCTGGTGCTC